CTAGATCCGTTAAGGGCGTGGAGTACTCATCATTTCTGACTTATTTTACTATGAAACACCCTACCCTAAACTTAACCCTTTTCGAGATATTTGACATTTATTTTTTTTATTCAAAATTGCCGATTTTTAGGCTACTAAATTTAATTTTGTTTATTTTGTGTGTCTTATAATTATAATTATTGCATTTTTACATGTGTGATAAGATGATTTAGGACCTCAATCATTAAAATAGTGAATAAGTTAATTCAATACGCCATAGTAGAAAAGAGAAAGTTAAGAAATTTTAAAAAAAATTAGAAAGTTTATTTATCTCTAAGGGATATCTAAAAAAAATATTATGGCAGTTGATCGGCAGATAAGTTATAAAATATCTACGTTTCATCAGCTATCTAACAAGGTATAACAATCTAGGATTTGTATTGCATTTCGTGGAAAAAAAAGTAGTTGGGGCGCTCCAGGTAGCAGTTCTAACGGTCCCGCGCCTATTGTCCTTAAGTTAAGACGCACCGTGCGAGTGAGACAAGCGACGGTTTATGTATGTGCGAATGAAAGAAAAAATATTGTAGAGATATCACGGGATATTGTTTTGTTTGTCAGTCTGCTTTTGTGCTTCGTACATAGTAGATGTGATATCGTTTTGCTCTTTTTCTTGACTTGGCTGTGATTCTGGACTGTTTTTTCCGATTTGTGACTACTGTGCTTGTTAACCGGACTTTGATTTGTACTTGTGCTACGGAAGTGTTGAAGATGACGTCGTACACACCTGAGGAATATGCTGATATGCTTATTTGTTACGGATACTGCGATTGTGTGTCTGCGCAAGCTCGCAACGAATACATAGCTCGATTCCCCGGTCGTCGAGTGCCGGATGTGGCTGTTTTTGACAGAGTTTATCGGAGACTTCGAGAAACTGGCTCTATTTTGAGACGAAATACAGACATGGGCAGACCACGAATTAATGACGACGAAGAACAGGACAATGAGATAGTGCAACGCTTTCGAGCGGATCCGACTACTTCCACTAATATTGTTGCCCGTGATCTGGGACTTTCGCAATAGAGAGTGTGGTTTACAGTGCATACTGCTGGCCTATACCCGTACCATTACACGCCGGTACACACTATTGAAGAAGGAGACCCCGCGAGAAGGTTGGACTTCTGCAGATTTATGCTAAATGCTGACGTAGAAGACCCAGATTTTCTAAGAAATATCTTGTGGACAGATGAATCCAAATTTGATAAAGATGGCATAACTAATTATCACAACGCGCATTACTGGGCCCCAAAAGAACTTAGGAATCCCAATAAGAAACGAGTGAAGGGTTCCCAACGAAGATTCAGCGTGAATGTGTGGATGGGTATTATCTCCAATCATTTGATTGGACCTTACTTTCTCCCGGACAATCTAAATGGGGAAAGTTACGAAAATTTTTTGAGAGGAGACTTGAGTGATTTGCTGGATGATCTGCCACTCAACTTGATCAGGGACATGTGGTTCCAACATGATGGCTGCCCTGCCCATTTCAGGTGAAGTGTCAGAGACTGGCTGGACACAAATTATCCAAACAAATGGATAGGACGAGGTGGGCCGTTGCCATGGCCAGCAAGAAGTCCGGACCTAACCCCCATGGATTTTCATGTGTGGGGGCGCATGAAAAGTTTTGTCTACAGCGAGTCAAATCCAGTTTCGTCTGTGCAAGAGTTAAAAGAAAGGATTGTGGATGCAGCAAATCAAATGAGGACAACGTTGACCACTGGAGTAGTGAAGACTGGTCTCCGTAGAAGAATGCGACAATGTATTAGAAACAGAGGCAGCCATGTTGAACATGAACTGTAGAATAACAAAAAGTTGTGTGAAAACCTGATTTAATAAATACTTTGCATGCTTACCTATTGTTTTGTTATACTTTTTAGGGCTAAGTATTAATTTTCTCCTCCACTATCGCCTATGAAACTAAGTTTTTTCAATGCATTTAAATAAAACCCTAGATTGTTATACCTTGTTAGATAGCTGATGAAACGTAGATATTTTATAACTTGTCTGCCGATCAACTGCCGTAATATTTTTTTTAGATATCCCTTACAGAAAAATAAACTTTCTAATTTTTTTTTAATTTCTTAACTTTCTCTTTTCTACTACGGCGTATTGAATTAACTTATTCACTATTTTAATGATTGAGGTCCTAAAGCATCTTATCACACATGTAAAAATGCAATAATTATAATAATAAGACACACAAAATAAACAAAATTAAATTTAGTAGCCTAAAAATCGGCAATTTTGAATAAAAAAAATAAAAGTAAAAAATCTCGAAAAGGGTTAAGTTTAGGGTAGGGTGTTTCATAGTAAAATAAGTAAGAAATGATGAGTACTCCACGCCCTTAACGGATCTAGCACGACTTTTCCTGTAACCCTGTATATGAGCATATATGGATTTCGAGTTCTTATTATCAGCCAAATAAACATAAATATACCATTTTCATTGAAATTTTATGAAAATTTTAAGACATCCGTTTCCCGCTAAAAAAATTCGAATTTTTTTGAACACACTTGTTTGTAAAATTTGTTTGATAATAGCATTTTAAAATTATATCCAATGATTTTATATATTAACATTGATTATATCACACAGTAGGGAACCACTAACCAATAAGGTTAGTCTATGATAGTACGTTTATTGTTACAAAAACATATTACCAAATAATTTCTGTTTAATTGATATTACTTATTAAATATGCTATTACATATTACAATCTTAGTAAGATTACAATCTTTATTTTGTATAGTCCGTTTTTATTGAAGATGGAAAAATTTGACATTTGCAGGGTTGCCAGTTTTCGTAAAATTTTAAATAGTCATGTAGCTATTGTCGATAGATTTATCGATAGGTTGGAAAGATGATAATAGTTTCCAAAAAATGTATGAATTGTGAGACTTATAACATTCTAATGATTAGTAATTGCGTTATCGCCGTCTTTACTCTTATTTTGACGTTTGGCCCGCGAGTATCAAAATCAATACGTAAAGTATCTACAGACGCACGTTCAAATTATTGCCCTATTGTAGACTATGTACAATACCACCTGAACTCGTTTTTATTCATATACATTTTTAATAATGATAGTTGGATTTGAATATCTATACTGAATTAAAATGAAAAACCACAAAATTTCCCTTTTTGATTTTTAATAGATGTGATGAACTTACAAAAGTTGACAATTCAAATGTACTTATAAATTTTACAATTCAAATGTACTTATAAAATCTACAATTCAAATGTTGACTTAAAATTAAATATGTATAATGCACACTGGGCGGATTCACAAATTACGAAACAAATGTATATATACGTGTTTCATATACATTTTTTTTAATTCGAAACTAAATCTCTTCTGTGTTAGACGAGGTAATGGTATCGTCGGAATCCAATACATGTATAATAAATGTATCACATACTTCGTCAATTAAATGGTCGAGTTGGCGCATTTTCGTTTCGACATCGTTGATAACGTGGTCTACACAATTTTTCCACTTTTGTGGCGTTACATTAGTTATCCCTTCTCCAAGCAATATTTTAACTTCATTCATTTTAAAAGTTTTGTTATTTCTTGCGACGTGCCCCTTTACCTGTGCCCAAACTAACTCCGAAAAACCCGAGTGCTGGCCCATCTCTGGTGCGAATTACGCAATTTGACTGTAATGATAGCTTTAATTGACAAACACGTCATACGCCAAGATTTCTGCACCTAAACAACTACAGCAAGTTATTTAAATAATCTGCCAAAGTGAATATTGATTTGCGAATGATTACCTTGGCAATAGTTGGACCTTCGTTTCGGAAAAAGAATTGATGAATCTTGCGTCTTATGGCCTCCAAATGGAATTCATCGAATTTTTGTATGTAGCTTTTTCGCTTGCCTTTCGGTTTAGGGGGCTGAAAGTTCATATTTTCGCATTTTTCTTTTAGAACTGTATAAACAGTTGATTTTGAAATGCCCAGAATGTCAGCCGTTTTTTTAGCACATTCTGTTTTACTGGCAGCTTCTAAAAGATTTGGATCGCAACCCTTGTTTTCTTCCTGAACAATGTATTTATATACATTCTCCGTCATCATCTTCTCAGTAGTACTGAGAGCAATACGTTGTCTTTTCTTTCGAGGCGATAAAATGCCCGAAGAAGTGGATGGTCCTGGGTTGTCCATATTGCGATGCAATACGCAACAAATACAGTAACAAAAAAAACTTAACACGATAACAGAAAACAATAACGTGAACTAACAAAAGAAACGTAATAAGCGCGAGCGCAAGTGAGCACATCCGAACAAGCCAAAGAGTGGTAGTCGAATGCGGCAAATTCTGCCGGCCCGCTGTGCCCGTGCGGCAATTTATTTATTTGTTTAAATTTTAGTAGCTACTTTTGTCTATAATAAGTAATATAATAACGACTCGCATATACCAATTACCAGCATAAGTAAAGATGACGTATATTTTTATTATACAGTTTTTTACGTTTTTCAATGTTAATTTATAATAAAAAAATAAAAGCAATAGTAGCCCAGCAGTGGCACGAATAATGGGCCGATGATGATTCAAATTTAACAAGTTCGGACAATCATTGCGTGAGCGTAACCAATATTCAGTCGATAATTCATTCATTCATATTTATCGACTGCAATCACTAGCTACTTGAGAACGGGCAACACTTTTGCGCAACGAATTGTCAAATTTTTCCATCTTCACTAAAAACGGACTTTAATTGTGGTTGTGGTTGTAGCACAAGGTATGGTATTTGTGAGGCTAGATAGAAATATTATGTCTACAAAATGTATAAGAAAGTACTCTCCTTATTATAACATAAAATCATAGCACATACCACAGTCAAAATAATTGTAAATCCTCAAAATTATAATAATATGATGTTTTCTGTGGTACCTAGAAGAATTACGTACAAAGAAGTTTTCATTGGCGATATAAAAATATTCTCATCCATAATAATATAGCAGACCCTATAAACGAACACGTAGCTGTCAACATTACGTAAAGTTTATATTATATTGACTTTATTTCTATTTCTAGGCAAAAGTGGAAATTTTAACAACATTGGTGCATGAAATAAATCTGTAAGTTCACTGGGAGTAGATTAATAATCAAAATTCGACCTGTTGGATATGACATGTCTTCATAGTTATTTTATAAAAGTAACCACAACAGGGACATTCCATCTTTTCTGCGTTGTATCTTATTTTTTGTCAAAGTAATTTATTTTTCAGGCAAAATGCAGGCTATTAAAACTTTATCAGTCAAAAGTCCTTCGATAGTTCTATCGTTAGTAAAGAAAGGAGCGTTTGCACCTATAGTAGATCAAGTACGTCAGACTCACTTGCCTGCACCTAATCCGCAAGAACGTCGTCCTTATTCGCCTTTCCAAGATACGACTAATGCGGCGGAGTACGCTGTGGCCAGACTAGATGACTTGCTGAATTGGGGAAGGAAGGGTTCACTCTGGCCCATGACTTTTGGATTGGCATGCTGTGCCGTCGAAATGATGCACATCGCTGCTCCTCGTTACGACATGGACAGGTTAGTTCGCTTGTCTTCTACCTCGGAGACTCAAGCACTAATGCAGTCATCTGTTTTTTGTTGGTGACTCCAGGATCATGGCCTTCAAAGTCCAAACCAATATGACATCTACCAAAACCATGGTTTTGGTAGATGTCATATTGATTTTTAACATACTTTGTTTTATCCAAAAGTAACTTGGTAGAATATTTTAGTGAACCCCCCTATTTACAGACAGCATTAATACTAGTAACTACTTATTATTAATAGTGTTGTTTTATTCACAGGTATGGTGTTGTCTTTCGTGCCTCACCTCGTCAATCTGATGTGATGATAGTAGCTGGAACTTTGACCAATAAGATGGCCCCTGCTTTAAGGAAAGTATATGATCAGATGCCTGATCCTCGATGGGTAATCTCTATGGGAAGCTGCGCTAATGGTGGTGGATATTACCATTACTCTTATTCTGTTGTGAGGTACAGTATGACGTGTTCAGATATATAAATTTCACTTAATATTGTGTAAATACAGGCATTTATTAATACAATATATAAATTCAATATGTAGTGGAATTTATAGCTTACTTCAAATTGCACATATAAAATAGTGATTCTCAAATTGTAGGTTACTAGGTTTGATGCAAAAATAATGACAATTTTTTTACTATTTGACATTACCATTTTTTTAATTTATTGTCTTATTATTCAGCACTTTTAACTTACTTGATTTGTTATGTTAGTGTGCCTTATTCCAGCATGGCCATGATTATTTAATATTTAACTTGACAGGTAAAAAATCAATATATGATTGGTCCCTTATTTCAGAGTTATAAGGATGTTTTTCTGCCCACACTGGAATAAATTTCACCAGCATTACTTCAATTTCAGGAACCACAGCTTCTAACTTATATTAGATTGCACCCAGAACAACTCACAAATTAGTCAGATCTAATTTCAAAATTATTGAAATAAGACAAGGTCAAAAGATATACTAATATTTCCATTGATAGCAATTGTTAAGTAGTAACTTCATACACATAATGAAATATGGGTCTAAAGAAGGCCACCATTGCAATTGTTCTCTGTGAGTTCACTCAATACTTTATATTTGTGGTGATTATAATCATTTCCAACATTTTGAATATTGTTTTTCCTGTTTGTCAAAGTATTTTTTTTTAAATATGAGCTGAGTATGGTGAGGTTGAGTATTAGGGGTATAATTTAACCATAACATCAATTTGTTCTCGAATGTTACTTGTATTATTAATTACAATGATAAAAACATTAATTATAAATGAGTGAATTTGCGCAAAAAAGAGTGAACTACAACACTGTGAAGCAAACATATCTAAAAACATATAATAAATATATAAAAAACGTATATATATATATATATATATATATATATATATACGTATATATATAAAACATATATAAAAGGGTCATTCCAGTGAATATGACACTGTGATTAAAAAAAAAAATTACACAATTTGGTTTCAATTATATGACTAGAATACGCCGAATAAATCAAATCATTAGAAATAAATGAGATTTTTCGGATATTGTACAATTTTGTAGTTTTTCTTTTCATTAACGCAACCATAGTGCTGTCCCTATGGTGAGGCATTCTTTCCTATAATGTTAGCAACAATTTTCGCGGTTATTTGTGCAACTTTTATTACTGTCAAAGAAAATACAATTTATGAATTTTAAAACAGTTATAGGTGATTGCATGGAAGTATATATAGTGAAGAGTTACTAAAGTTTCTATAAATACCATTGACTTACAATTATATGGACGTCGGGTCCGCGCTAAAAAGTGTCCGCACTTGTAAGGCGCTAAAATCGTATACAGAGCGCGACACTCCGCTTTAGTCTTCATTTGTTCTACGGACAATGATAAATACTAATAATTTCAAATCCCACCTGTCACAATGAAACATATATATTTTTATTTTAACCAATAAATATGCAATCTATTATCATTCACTTTTGGAAAAGTAATAAGGGTCATTATTTTGGCTTGATTGGGCATCGTGCATGTAAATGAGAATATAAATATTGAGATTTGGAAGTGTGATGGGTGGAACATATTTCTAAACATTTTTACTTTGACTGAATGTTTGCATTTTCGTGGATTCGAGTTTCTACGATGTTTACTAAGTGTAATAGTTGCTCTAATTTCGAAGTTAAACATTTGATGTGTTAAATTGTTCCACCATTCTGTGACAAGTTACATTTGAATACATAGAATTTATAAAAATACACTGTGTATATGTAGATCCATCATTTGTAAGCAAATATTTTATAATTCTTCTCATAATTAAGACATTTTAACACTTAAAAAAAAACAATGATAAACTGACAACATTTTTCCTGATGATTTTTATCATCAGGAAATTCATGAAATGTCTGTCTCCACTAGTTTTAACTATATATTCCAGCAAAATTTCTAAAATTTGATATATTTTGATATGATACAATCTTCAAGGATGTGGCAGGATTTTTCAAATTTATTAACACAATTTACATGCGTGACTTTGATTTCATGTCGTCGTAGATAGTGTTTCAGGAAAAATAATAGGATTACTTTATCAGTTCTTTAATTCTGTTTTTTTTTGTTAAAATGTCTTAGTCAGAGCTAAATTATAAAATATTTATATTACTAATGATGGATCTCATATTAAACAGTGTAATTTTATTAATTCTGTGTATTAAATTGTAACTCACACAACTTAATATTAATTTCCTTAAAATTTACCAAAGTTATTAATGAAGTGTTTATATAAAATAGAACTTTAACATTCCAGTTATCACATATGAAAAACTTGCTGAACAAAATATTAATAGTTTGTCTTGACCTTGGCAATGAAGCCATCAACTCAAACATGCGGGTGTCGCGAGTGTCCCACCCGTCACATTTAGAAAATTTAAAGTTTTGAGTATAAATAATGTCATAAATTTATGTAACGAAATAGTCGCGGTTGAGTTGCATATCTGGCTTCATGATATTTTCATTTTAAGGCTAATTAACCAATGGTTAGGGAGAAATTACTTAAAGTTCGAGAAAAGAAGGAGTTAAAATGTTCCACCCGTCACTTTGGAATGGCCCAAAAACTACTTGTGTAATCAAACATATAAAATAAGCAATTCTTGCACTTTGTAATCAATTCTGATCAATAGTGGTACAAAGTACTCAATGCATGTCCTTCGTCTCAGGTAGGCCAGGAACCCAACAATCATATAATTATACACTATTAAATATGCAGAACAAACAATGTACATATTTTTTGCTAATTTGCTAGTATTGAAAACTAAAAATTATGAATACTTTCAATTATCAAATATTTAAGAAAGTTTTTCTACAAAGACTTGTGATATGCAAAATACATTTACGGCCTACACTGATACACATTGTGTTTTGTGTGTGAAGGAACGACTAAGTCTGAAATTGCCGATTAGAACCGACTAATACAATTTTCTGGGTAAAATCAAATCTAGGCAAGAATAGGAGCTCTTTGGGATTTGTGGTTCTCGGAAATTTAAATGGTTCTGCTGGGTGGTTAAGTTAAAATATCCTTGGAACTTAGAAACAGCAGACTGACAAAATTTTGTTTCTTGAGACTAGAACAGACAAATGACGTCTTTTATCTGACTAATCCAATTTCAAATGTTCGATAATGGTCACGCTGTGATGTAAATTTACAAGAAGTTACCAATGATTCCTTTGTAGGTACCAGTAAGACTGGGACTATTATAACATATTTCTTAGTGGGATTTCAATGTTAACTCCTAAATCTATGGTTAACTCCATAACTAATTTGCCTCTGTCACTAAATTGCTTTCAACTCAATTAAATTATTTTATAATAATTTAAAAAACATTTCAGAGGCTGTGATAGAATCGTACCTGTAGACATCTATGTTCCTGGATGTCCACCATCCGCTGAAGCTCTGCTTTATGGTGTACTTCAGTTACAAAAGAAAGTTAAAAGAATGAAGACAGTTCAGCTATGGTACAGGAAGTAAATTCATCAATATGTGAAAAATAGATGATTTTGTAATTATTATTTATGTTGTATGTAATCATAATCGACAAACCTAATGCAGTAAATACATCTTAGTGCAAGCAATTCTTATTATTCTGCCCTCGGAACGAATGAAAAGGCACAACTGTCGTATAAAGTACGCACAGTTATGCCTTTTTCGTTACTTAGGCAGTATTATACAAAATAGGTATGTAACCTTTTTACTTTGAGGCAGATATTTAAAAAATATACAGGCTTTGAAAGTACTTTAAATATTATAGGTAGGATGTTTTGCTTCATGGAT